TTCCTTCTGTCGTTGTATTCCACCTCCTCTCTGCCTTCTGAGAGTTGTAAACAGATGTTCACAGCTGTCTGAGGATGAGGCTTTAAGGGTTTGTGAGGGTCTCTTCAGAAAAAAATATAAATTGGTTTATTGTTTAAGAATTTGGACACATTCCATTGGTAGACTGATGATTGACTCATGTTGACTAATGAATAGGCAAACCAGTGGTTTTAAATTAATTACTGAAATTATCTTATTTGTTTAAAGAATGACAGTGAAACCTTCTCCAACTCCCCTACCCTCAGCTGTGCTGGGTGGTCAGTCTTTGTGGAGTTGATCAGTTAGTGAGCAGATGATCAAGGCTTGCCTGCTAAATAAGGTTCCTTCTCTAAAGGTTATACAGTTGTAACATTCAAAGATTTTGTTTTACCATGGGATTCTGTCTCTGTGCAGTGCAATTTCACCATACTGAGGTCTGTTTCAGCCTGCAGATAAGCAATGGTACTTTCTGCTATGCAGAGTAACAGGTCATTTATGACACTGCCTTGACCACAGAGTGGTCACACTGTTGGGTAAGTTCCATTAAATTCCAATGTTGTAGTGGTTTCCAACACTCTCTGCCTAAAACAGAGAAAAGCAAATTATAATCTTCTATGAGTTGTAGCCACTGTATATGTAGAGACTAGACCTTGAGAAGTTTGTCTTTTTCTTAACGCACAGTTTATTATTGTCACCAATCAATGCACTTGTGTGGATTTTAATATTCTCACAGTTACAGATCAGCACACAGAAAGTATTTGTTTTGTCCCCCACATATATATTAAACCAGTTATAGTTTGTATTGAGGGAATTGTTTTTGCGAGAACTCCCAATGTATGTGAGGTATTTTTAGTATTAATGAAGAGAACAAACCCCTTTCTGTATTACTCTTTCATTTATTTCTGCAGTTGTGCCTTGCGAATTCCTTCTTGATGAAATATACTTTATTAAAAGGGAGAGGTCTGTTTTTCCGTTGTATCGCCTCACTGTTTGTTATAAACACTGTGTAGATAAAGTTTACGTACAATATTGTATGTGAGGCTAAAATTTTGTTTCCGGCTACATTTGGCTAGTAGGTATTTGGGTCACTTGTCTTCTGTCACCTTTTCCACTCATAATCCTTGCCGTGTTTCTAAAGGTGGATTAGTGTACCGAATTGTGCTAATGTCTGGGTTATTAAGTGGCAGAATATTTGCATGAGGTCTTTGTCTGCAGGATGCATGAATGCATTAATATTAGTTAGAATCATTGTTACATAGAGTAAGCCAATTCCAAATTAAAAGACTTTTGTGTAATGGGAATGTTGTATTATATGTTCATATTCCTTGGACAGCATATTTTCTTCTCTTCTCATAAGTTTGTGCGCGCTTCTGGGGCTCATGGAATAGAGCTGAATTTCATGTGAAACACAAGGAGTTAGGGTCTGCAGAGCAGTATGATTATTTTACTGCTTAAAAAACACAAAAGCTTTAAATGTTTATTCTTCAGTGCCACTCCTTTGGATGAAAGTCAGTCAAATACTTTTTTTTACTGTACTAATGAAAGCAGCACACTTCTTGTTTAATGCTGATTTTATGATTGCGAAAACTTAACTCGCAATATTTACCCATTTGCAGACAGGATTTAAATAATGTGGCCACTAGATCATTTTCAGTGCCTTTGGTGCATTTATATTACAGTTTCAGACAAAGGCAGTAAACTGGTATGTTTAAATGAAAATGTCTGTTTTACCACAGATTGAAAGGTAACCCAATATACCAGGCCTTTTCATGTGGTCCGGAAAGAAAAGAACAGTACACAAATGGACAGTCATGACTACAAAGAAGACATGGTGCCTGGATTTTTATTTTTGTCGGATTCTTAATTGTTTCTGGTTCTTCTTTAAGTCTGTTTGCCAGATTTAGGAGGACTGTCTAGGGAATAAGAAGACCCCTTGATCCAGTCAGACGCTGCTTTCTACAGAGCATTTATCCCATCCCACTGCTTCAGCAGACCAGAAACTACAAGCTGTTGCTTCAGTTTTTTACACGGGGGTCTCCAAATCTGCTTCTGGAGAGCGAGGAAGTGTGTGGTTGTCATGCCAGCCCAGCTCACCAATTCTTAATGGAACACGTTCTAATCAATCACACCTAAAGATCTTAAGCTCTAACCTGATGTTTTAGTTCCTGTATAAGTTTTAGTAACCTGTATATGTAACATAAATCAAAGTCTTTTATATATTTTCTGGAAAGCTCTTGTGCTATGACAGGAATTTACAGTAATATCTTAAATCATCTTCAGCCAACTGTCTTATACCTGTTCCAGCATTAAAAAGGTTTGCCTCATGCCTTGAGGTTGTTTATTAATTTTACCAGGAATATAGTGACCTCCTGTTATTACTATTAACTTGTCTATTTGTCAGAGTTGTTGATGAGGGCAACTTGGAGTGATGCAGTCCCCAGGCAGAAACAGAATCTCTTTAAGTAGGGAGATGGGAGAAAGCTCTTGTGTCTCAGATCTCCATCGTTTGTGTGTGGGCAGAAGAGGAACTGATTCACCAGGATTCTTCAAGAAATATGTGGATGAAGGCCTCTGATGAATAAGCTCCTGCAGTGTAGTAGAAACCAGAGGAGCTCAGTGGACCAAATGTCTTCTTAATTGCCTTTTTTAAAAAGTTATTTTGTTGTGGTGCAGTGTTATAAATTAGGGAAAAATATAGGAAAGGCTAAAATGGATGACCTTAAGTTAAAAAGAATCCCACAAGAACACTGTGTTTTATTAATACGCAAGTGTCATCTGATCCTGGAGGAGACAAACCAAGCTGAAAATCTTAGAGTGTCTCCTCTCCAAGTGGCAATCTGAGGGCAAATATGCAAGAAAACATATATGATATAATAATAATTAATATGCTCACACTCCTGTTCAAACTGCATATATTAGAAGCTCTTTATTTCTCGCTTTAATTTTCCATTTTCAATAAATCAAAACCAGATCATAAATCTGCTCTTCTGTGAACAGTTGGTGACAGAAATGGCATTCGCATATTATCTATGCACAGAAATATCACAAAAGATATGCTCTGACCCGTTCATTAATCATGTAGTTAATTAACCACTCCAACTCTTCTGTCTCATGTGCGAAGGATTACCATGCTGCTGAAGAGGGAACAACCACAGCGCATTGTAGAGTGTTCTGTATGTAAAATCATCTTGATCAGCCACCAATGCAGCCACATTCCAAAGATCCCAACCTTTGTACCAGGCTTAAACCTATTAACATTTACTGGTCCATTCAAAAGGTGTGTTGTACCCCTCCCCATACACTCATACACATTTTCAAAAGTAAGGGACCACAAGCTGTTAGTGCACTGTACTGTACGTATAAATATATATATACGCGAGTGTGTGTTTCAAGGGTTGTATTTCCCAGTGCTTTCATTCTCTGCCTACTCCTCCAGAGTCTTGTAATGTGATTAAAGTCTATTAATCATCAAAGAAGCTCTCCTGGGATCCTGACTCATGAACCGGGGGAAGAGGCAGGGGTGGGATGTGTAAAAAAAAAAAAGCTTTCAGTGAGCATTTGCTCTCTCTGCCACAGATTGGGATAAAAAAAGGAACGGTCAGTTGTGGTAGTTTTTTGTATCATTGTTCAATATGTTGTTTAATCAATGAATGGGAGCTCATTGAGTAGGATCTCACTTTGCCATAGGTAAACAAATCAAGAAGTAACTTTTGTTTCTATGTAGCACCTTTTCATGGTGTGCTCCTGTCTCCCGCCGCCATCTCTTAATCTAACTGGTGACATTGGGAGGTCATAAGTAATATGCATCAATTAATAATATTCAGTGGAAGACCTGGATACAACAAGTTGTCAAGCTTGAGGTGAACATTGAACTGTCTTAAAAACAAGTGCAGCTACTATTAGGGCCCTCAAGTTATACAGTTCCCTTTTGTGCAGTAATGTTACTCAGTTGTATTGTGTCGTATTTATATTCAGCTGTACTTGACAATGTAAACAGCTCTTTAAGTACCATTGAACATTTAAGTGATAGTTCATTATTTCTAATGAATCAACAAATTTAAAGTGTGTTATTTATGGAGTTCCACAAAGACATTTAGAAAGCAGCATATAATACACTCAATGAATGATGCCAGTGCACCTCTGGTACTGTAGATAAAGGACATTTTTGTTTTCCAGCTCAGGTGTTATCGTCATAGAATTTGCAGAATTCCAAGAGATGGCAGGTTCTGCTTGACATGAGCCATTGCCAAATCCATGGTTCTTGTTTTTTTCTCTCTGGGAGGTGTCTTGTCTGAGGATATGTATGTTAAATGAGGGCCTTGCTGTAAAACCAATGTGACTTTTTTTACCTCCTTGGTTAAACCATGCAATAAAATGTAAGTCTCTTCTGGACAACACATTTTAGAATATTTAGAATTATCCTAGTGCTGAATGTAACAGCATTTGTGCATGGTTCTCAGTCATTTAAGTCTGCATCTTTTTAGTTCTTGGAATTGTTCTGAAGTCTCAGAAGCTACGCCCTATCTTCATAGCATGTTCTGTACATAATCTATACACGTTTGTAAAAATCTCACAAATTGTTTTGCAACCTCCTTGATTTTATACCCAGTCTTTTCACTGGAGCATCCAGCTTATTTGTGTGCCAGAGATTTGCCAGTGTTCCTCTATATGTTGGAAACCCTGTCATAGTTTGCTGCCATTGTTCAGTGTTTTAGAAAATATCTTTAATGTCTGTATTAAACGTACTTTGCATTCAAGTCTTTCTTTAGTCATTGGGAGTTTTAAGACCTTCTGGTTTTGATTTCTGCTGAGCTCCTTATTACTTAAAAGAGTCAATTATTATCTTAATTATTCAAGCTTTACATGGTTATTGGCTGTTAATTGAAGACCGCTACAAAAGATTACAGCTCCCCAGGACCAGAGTGGAGAGGCTTCTGCTGCACTTCCCCGGTTCAAAGTGTGGTTGTGTGTGCGTCTTGCAGGTGGTGTACTTCACAGAAATGCACAAGATTTTCGGGGAGCTGACGGAGCAGATCGACCAGCCGGGACTGACGGACGAGCAGCGGGAGCGAGAGAACGAAGCCAAGCTGAACGAGCTGCGCGCCCTGTCCATCGTGGCCGACGACTGACGAGACGCCAGCCGACGCTCAGTTCCAGATTCTGGGCAAAATCTGAGTAATGACCTGCACATCTCCCAGCACGTTTGAGACGTACACCTGTAGCTGATTTTCGACATGTCCATCCAGCTTGCTAGCTCGACATCTCATGATTTTTTACAAAGTTGGAATAGACCTCCTCTAGATGAGAGGCTGGCAAACGTGGCCCTTCTATTCTACTGCAGAATTACATCAACTAATATTTTAGTCACTTTTAATTGACCCTTAATTACCAAACTGACCTGTGATTACTTAATTGACCCCGCAGCTGAAGATTGCTTCGATAATTAAGGATTAATTGGAAAAAAGACTTGTTGAAATGAAGTAGAAGAGCCAAACATTGCCCACCTGGGGGGGGTTGTCCTTCAAAATTCCTTTCTCCTAGAAAGTGTCGTGACTGCTAGTGCTTACCTGACCAAACAGAGACCCTCGTTAATTTCTGTTCTAGACCAGAACTCCTGTCGCTAACGACCTTGGATAAATATCTCACCTCTCGCTTAATACACTTAGAATTTTATTGTTAACACTACCAGGCATTTACTTTAAAAAGCCATTGACACAATGATGTTACACATTTATTTTAGGATTTTATGTAGGAAAAAAAGCTAATATATTAAAAAATACAACACTAGATAAGGTAATATTATGTGAAAGTACCGTGTTGATTTAATTTTTTTGTATGTAAAAATCATTTTTTAACGTTTTTTGGAACGAAAGCTAGAGGCAATTAAGTGTAGCACGTTTTGCAACTCCTTTTTTAAACGATCTTTTAATTTTGTCTTTTCCATTTTATGTTTTTCCATTTCTTTTTGTGCCATTTTAAAGACTTTTTCAGTCTGCCTAAAGCAGCAACTCTTGAAATGTTGATGCAGTGAAACTTGTGTAAGAACAAGAAAATCGAAGAAAAAAAATCTTTACTGCTTAATTTTTTTTACGTTTGTTTTCATGGCCAGGGTCTTTACATTGCACTGATTATAAAGATCTAATTCCTTATATCACCTCAAATCTCAGATGTCTCCTTGTCACTTATTCCTCTTTGCGCAAACTGTGTGCTCTCTGTTGATCTATTGTGCTCATAGAACCGAGTTATTATACTGCGGGACTGTGGAATTTTGTAATGATCGCTACCCAGACGGAGACCAAACAACAATACAGATTATACCCAACTATGATCTACTACGGAACAGGTAATAGGTTTATTCCATGCTAAAAAGAGAAGAAAGAAAACAACGTTTCGGCCGTGGAGCCTTCTTCGGGTGAAGAAGAAGGTGACACCTGAAGAAGGCTCCATGGCCGAAACGTTGTTTTATTTCTTCTCTTTTCAGCATGGAATAAACCTATTACTTGTTCCTTTGCTGCCTACGCATGCTGACGCAACTACCCACCTGAACTACTATGATCTACTACAGTGCATATCCTGGGATGTAAGCCAAATTTACCATGGGATAGTTTGATACCATTTCATATGTAGCTTTAGTTTAGCAGCATTTTCCTTAGATTTTTAAAATACATTTCATTGCATTCATCCTAAAATCAGCTTGTTTGTGAGTGTTTGGAATCGGACGATCCCAGCTGATACCACATTTTTGAGTGCTGAACTCACTCTGGAGTCTTTCAGAAGCCACTCTTTTGGCTAAAATAAAAGCTGAACGGATGTTAGGAAAGCGTGGCTGACTGTTGAAAGAATGATCAAAGAGGCACAAAATAAAAGCAACAACAAAGAAGCAACAAATAAGGACACAAAAAGACAGTTTAGGAACTGAATGATAACTGTTTCAGTTATCTTAAACACATTCTGGTTTCAATTCTTAAACACAGTTTTTCAATAATTTCAAACACCCGTTCATAAGATCTGTAGAAAATGTTGTCTGTAAGCAGCCCAATATTCTTTTCCGGCGTGATATCCAGTTTGCGGTTGTGTGGAGGAGAAAAAACTACCTTTTGCGTTATTCTTTTGAATCCATTCACGGTGTTCATTTTGTGTTGTTCTAAAAAATAAGCAATAGTAAAAACAGTTGTAGTACATACTATATGTACTGATAGTAAATACTATGTTAAAATTAGTTTTTTGACTCAAGGAGTAAATCGCTTGCCTCTTTTACACTACACATGGCAAGTAAGCGAAAGGCTTGCAGACCACTCAATAAATCACAGCCCTTGTCTTGTGCAACTTGAATGTGGTATTTCCAAGCATAAGACATTTTACATTTTCTTAATCATTACAAAGGAAGAGCATAAAATTGTAGAATATTAATGCTAAAAGGGCAAAGGAGTGGGCATTAAGAAATAATGCTCAATTGATGATGTGTACAGTATATATTTGCTTGATGCAAAGCTTCTATTGCTTTAAGGATCTGACATAAGTGCTCATCATGCCAATAGTGTATTGTATTTTTGTATAAAGGGAATATTTAAATTCTTGTAATGCTTTAAATATTTTCTACTAGGATGCTAACCATTTAAGTCCGGTGATGTCTTCTAATTACTAAATCAGACCTTGTTTTTTTTATCTGCAAGAATCCTCCCCAGCTTGTCCTGCCTGAAACATCAGCTGAAGTATTGTGTTATGTTAGGATAGTTAGAGTAAAAGCACGCATGCACAATTCAGTAGCTGCAAATTCCTCTTCCAATTCTGATGAGTAACAGAAGATTGTGAAAAGAAATTTGTTTGCCATGTGGCACATCATGCACCATTACCATCATGTTAGCAACAACTTCAAATCTGCTCCATCACAACGTAATGGCAGCATATTTTGCGGTTTTATGTAGAGGACGTTGAGGCTTAGAACATGAATGCACTTCAGTTATAAGGCTGTATTCAAAAGGTAAAGTCTAGTTTTCCTTCCATTCTTTAGTGTTGTATTATGAAGTGCACTGTTGTTAAGGATGGGTTAGGTAGGTGGCTGTGTCAGCACGCTGGCTTTGAAAAGACACTACGATTCATTTCACATTGTGAGTCTGGAAGGGAAATAGGTTAGCAGGTGATTGATTTTCAGCTCTGCTGTTATTAGCTTAGACTGTCATGCTGTACTGCTTAGTTTAGAGAAGAACAGCAGGACTAATCCTGGGGCTAAAGAGGAATGAACTATGAGGACAGGCTGAAACCTCCATATAGCTCAGCAGCAAGATTGGGTTAGAGAGATCTAATCTGAAAGAGATACTGCAGTTGCTCCACATTTTACTTCCAGAAGGGTTTGGGGAATGGGAGAGTCATTAATGGAGTTTCACTTAAGCACATTGTTTAAGCATTTGGCTGGTTTGTTCACAGTTGCATAGAGAATGCAAGGACAGAAGGGGCTTGCCTGTGTCTTATAGAGCCAAGAAAGGTTTAGGACATGGAAAATCTAGTTTTCTGTTTTCTTTTAAAATACAACACTGCCAAATATTTTGGTTTTATGCCCAGAATTTGGAGGTAAGCAATTCTCACACCAGCCTTTGAGAGCCTGTCCTCTTAGACCTGTGTTGTGTTGTCATACCATCCATTTCTTTTCACACTTCTGTTGTAAATCACATACTGAAGAGCTGTCATGTTGTGTGAAGAACGTGTAGTTTTTCTGTCACTGGTATCCCCAGACAGGGGTTCCTGGTTAATGGCAGTGGTTCTACCAAGTCTCACCCTGCCCTGCCCTGCCCTGGCAGTACCCCACCAGCTGTGTGCCATTCTTATTTGCCTTTATCCCTGTGCCTGTCTGTCATTATCTTGTTAATTAGATTTGGTTAGGGGGTGATGGGGTTATTTGCCTATAGACAAGTTAAAATGATTGGACGTTGTGCGGGTTGTAAATTCATAACATCCTTACAGACTTCACGAGAATGAATTATTTGATTAAATTCTTGTTTTAATCAATAAATAAAGATATGAAATTCTCCCTTGGAGAAAGAATCTGCGTTTGTATAAAATACAAATACAGATGTGCAGTAACAAAAAAGCACAGAAAAAATATTAAAAGTGTGGGATTTTTATAACAAATGCACCCTTTTTTGTCTTCAAAATTAGTATAGAGCGCATAGCTTCTTAATTTCTTATCATCTTTATACAAATGCAGGTAATCCCTCCATAAATTGTGATAAAACATGTTTTCTGTGGTTGGTTTGCCTGTATTAGAACTTCTTGCATTTCAGTAGCACCAGCTAGATTAAAATAACCTCCACTGCATAATTAAGCACAGTGTCAAAACCTAGGCTGTTGTGCCCTCTAGCGACAAAGACACAGATTTCAGTTTTTATACTTGTATTTAAAGATTTTTTTTGTACTTTGTTTTTTAATGATTATACTGTCCAGCGACCTTTCCTTAAACCAAGAACCTCCACTCAGGTCACAGAGAGATGCATAGTATTCTGTTTTTTTTTTCTTCCAGCCCAGCTTTCAATTACTGTACCATTTCTATGTCCATTATCAGAATGCCATTTAATACTGGTGTCACAGCAACCTATGAGCATTAGGCTCAAGGTAGAGGTCCAGCCAAATGCAGTAGGTTACTGTATTTCATTGCAATAAATGTTTTTTCAATTACCCGTTTGATTACTCAAGATTAAAGAGAGCTTTAACCAATTATTTTAGATGCTTAAAAGCAATGAAGGGCTGAGGCTCCACAGGAGTGTAGTTGGAGACTGTTGCCTTAAAGGTTGCTGTCAGGTATACCCGTTAGCTCTTGTGTAGACTTATTTTACAATATTTCACACAGCTGATGTTAGAACTGTGTGTTCAGATGCTGACCTGATAGAGTCAGTTGTAGGAATCCCATTCTTTGTGTGTGTAGGTGGCAGTATTGTGGTTAAAGTGCACTTAAAATTGTGAAATTATTTGTATTTTAGACTAGTAATTCTTTAATTGGTTAACAACTTAATTTGTATATTATTTGTATTTTAAGGCAGTAATTATGTTTTGATGACATTTAATTACTCCTTTATCTTTGCGTTCATTGGGCTGGAGATAATGGAGCCTTGTTGTAACCCAGAAATTGTTACTTATATAAGGATCTTCCGGTTTAAATTTCAACCATGCTTTCCAGGTATAGCAGTTAGTGATTTATCGGCCCTAATTAAACATGATTAATATTAACTTTAGCCTCTGATTCATATAAAGCTTTGAAGGACTGGGGCTCTCGAGGATCCTGATTGAAAATCACCATTAAACGTTTACTGCATTTGTTCATACACAGCGAACGAAAAGGAGACGTTTAAGTTGAGAAGCAAGTCTGAAATTCTCACTCTGTAGCAGATTTTAAAATGGATAGAACTCATCCGACCAACTTGCATAGAAAATAAATCTGTTTTTCATTATGGACTCAGTCCAGAGAAGCAGTTTGTAGTGTTAAAGGCCTTTGTTTTCCATCGTGGGCAAAATGCTCTTCCCAGCTGTCAATGAACTGTGGTCAGTTTGCCACCAATGGAAACAAACACACTTTGTTTTTCATTTAAACTGTGATTAAAGGAGTATAGTCTTGCTTTTTTTATTCTGCGGGGTGTCCTGATCACATACACAGTTAGGGCAGGAAATAAATTTGACAATCCTGTCAGAAATGAAGTGTGTTCGCACTTAGCGAAACCCCTCATTCCTGTTTGGTTTGTGGATACTGTGAGCTGTTGCTCAAAATCCCGAAACTACCAAACACGTGTGTGTGTGTGTGGTGTTATATAGACAGATCATTGAAAACAGCCCACAAAACCAGTTTGGAGACGGTAAAATTCTAAGGAAAGTAATATAATTCAAGCAGAAGCGTATCTGTTAATTAGACTACTGCAATCCTAAAGAGTCATAGTCTGGCACCTTACAAAAGTGCTGGGTTGGACCAGTTGAGACAATAATTAGCTCACAGGTCTGGAGATAGACAACACTAAACTGGATGAGTTTTGAGGCAGTGTTGCCTCTTTGCCTCTTACAACTGATATGTTATTGCTATCCAGGAAGGTGTATACCGAAACGTTTTTTGGATCAGGTAGATTTTGATCGTTGCTCATTGTGGAACCTAAGGATCTGAGTTAAAAACCCACTGCCACATTAATTATTGTGCAGTTGGTCTGTTTTTCCGAGATAAACGCAAAAGCATGTAAGGTATATAAAGTTTAATGCATACACTGCAATTAGGAAATTAAGAAGCTGTCAAGAGGTATGATTAGTAAAGGTAAAGCGAAGAAAGCTTTTTAGTTAAAGCAAACAATAGAACTGGCTTTAACATTTACCATCTTTCTAATTTTATACATTTTATAGTACACGTTCTGCAGATGCATGGCTGTTTGAAGTTTTGGTCCATTGTCCTGAGTAGTAAAACTGGTTTGAAAATATGACACTAATAATAAAATGATAAAATACCCATGTTTTGAAAATATTAGGCAAAGCCAAAATGTCACCTGAACTAGATTTCCATGGCAGGAACTGGAAGGGAAATGTATTTTTAATCATTATATAAAATTTAGTTTTATATTTAGGGTGAGTGCTTGTAATTTCTTGATTGCACTTTGTATATGTGTGTATGCTGTTGTGCAGCTATAGGCCAGAGACCATATGTCAAATAGCACTTCGGAGCAATATGGATGGCCACTTTGACAAATCACCAAGTTTTCAGGTCTGCAGTGGCCCAACATTTAAAAATGCCTATAAAACCTACGGGACTGCAGTATGTGAGCAGACTTGTGCAGTACTGAAATGCAAGAGATCTCTCTTCAGACCTTTGAGACATACCAAGCAGGCCAGGTAAAAACTGGTGTGGATACCTTAATATTGAGGTTTTTAATATTCTGTGTCGATATTACGAGATGGAAGAATGTTAATGAGGGTTTTGTTTTTGTGATATATACAGATATATATGTATTTTTAACTTATTTCTACTAATGATTTGGTAGGAGGCCTCTTGTCAAGTGACAGAAAAAAGCCATGCAGGGTGATACGTATTCATTTGAGGAAAAATGTGTCCTCAGTATTCAGATTCCTCCTTGGTATGAGATATTTCTGCCTTGCTTGTCATATTTGCTCAACTAAATGTTTCATGTTTATGATTCAGTTATTTTTAAACTGGATGCCACTGATTCAGAACAAACTGAAATATAGAAAATATTTTTCAAGGATTAAAGCCTTTTTATTGTTTCAAAGAATTTTTTCATCTATTTGTGTTACAGGACTGAGTCAAATAACCCAGGTGCATTTTCTCATCGAGTTTTGTAAGCTTTCTCTCCCCTGTTTAGAAACATTTGGCTCCGATTTAACTCCACTGCAGTGTTGTCATTTACTTTGATGCTGCCTAAGCACCTGTGTTTTACCAAAGTCACGCAGCATATTGCAATTTCACACTTCCTTGGTTTGTCAAGTGGAAGATGTTAAAATGTCAAACTGCATTGCGTTCTAATTCTGCTCTTTATTTTATAGTGTATAGGTGGGCAACAGTATAAAAAAAAGATCACAATGATTTTTTGTTTTTATTTTATCAGTAAACAAATTGAGAACTTTTACAAAGAGCCATGCTTATGATAATACCTGCAAGTCAAGACAACATCAATGGAACAGAAAGTGTTCTATGTCATTAGCTTGGGCTTTGATAGCTGATGCTTTGGGGGGCTTTGTCAGATGAAGTCTGTACACTATTATAGACCTTCTATGAGGTATTGTGCTGGCAATGTTGTGCTTAAATCTTAATTCAGGTTGTGTATTCCCACCAGAATACAATTTGTCTGTGTTGTTGCATCTTTAGCAACAACTTACTGTTCAGTGAAGTTTAAAATACCTTGTATGTGCTCATCTCTTTCTCAATCTCCTGCACTTTATCATTCCTGTAACCAACCATGGTAACACTCTCTAGACGAGCTCTCTTTCCCAGAGTACCCTTGGCAAATTTGTATCTTGCTTTATATATTTTTTTTATTTCTAGTAATTTAGCATGGTGATGAATGCTTTCAATAACTTGAAAACCAGGATTGTCAGTTGTTTCGTCTTTATTATTGTATGAAAATTAATTTCTAAAACAATACTGTAATGAAATTGAAATGTATGCCTTGTAATGGGTGCTATGAATGTTTTGGTTCTCACTTGTGTACTTTTGGTTCTTCATCATGGGATGTATTTTCCACTAATTGGTTTCTGTCTATTGTTGTCTCAATTCTGTTGATAAATGATACCATGTACTGAGCTAAAACAAACTTTGTTAAACTGTCTTTTTATTTGGCATACATTTAACATTACTTACGATTAAATTTTTCATTCATTTTAAATGACAATTTCCTAGTTCTTGCTGGCATCTACAGTATATCATACCCCGTCTTTAAACTTGTTTCTCACCTGATAAACCTCTGATGATTTCAGCTCCTTCCTTTGTGCTCTGTAGTTGTTAATGAAAAATGTTTCACATTCATTGGCTGAATTCACGAATTGATATTTATTCCATTAATGCAGTGCTTTACAGAATCACTCCCAGCTTACATTTAAAGAGCATAAACTAGCGCTTTCAGACTGGGTTACAAATCATCAAAATAATTAGTGATCCTAATTTAAAAATGTTAAAAAAAAACTTGAGAAAGTGCCAAAGGAGGAGGCAGTTTTGAGGAGTCAAGGGGAGGTACTTCATGCAGTGTGAGTTGTGGGTGGATGCAGCATGTTCCCAAGCCATGTTGAAGCAGCTGATTCACTGGGTTGCTCCAAAACTTGTCCACCTCCTTCTACCTCCTGATAGTTATTAAAAAACACCTCAGCCCTCACTGTAAACCATACAAATTCATGCTTACAGAAAACCAGTGGAATTTAATATTTGCATATAGCTATAAGATGTATTTCATTTAATCTGATTTTAAATGGGAATTTGATTATTTTTCCTCAATGTGTACATAAAAAGCCAACACTATTGCCTTGCTCAGTTTGTACACAGAGATACAGGGAATATTACAGGTACTACAAATACTTTCTCACAAACACTTGCTAACAGTTTGATGCCTACTGTCCTTCATTTTCAAACCCTACAGTACCATGCTGTGATCCAGTGTGCACTGAGTGCCCGCAGAGGAAGGACCTCCTCTGGCCACGGTATGGTCGGAGCATGAGGAGGAACACTGGCTATCGCCTCCTCAACTAGATTTAAGCAAGCACTGTGCTGGAGAAAGATCCCATAGTTGAGCCTACAGGAGAATGGAGAGTGGTCATCACCACCTCGCAGGCCCAAGCTTGAAGAGCAGGTGGATGAGGGCAAGAGGTCTGTGTCTCTACGGCCCATGTCTGAGCTACAGGACAGGATCATGAGAGGTCACTGCTGCCCTGGCCGGAGCCTCAAGAGTGTGAGGCAGCCGCTGTGCCAAAAGAAAGGGGGCACTCGTGTAGACACCTGCTGGCTCAGGAGGGGGAGGTAGTTTGAGAGCGGTAGATGATGCCACATTTCACACAGCCGCCAGAAGGAGAACGCCAGGGGGGGGTGCACCCAGTTCGCGCTGCCTGCTGCCCCCACGTCTCTGCATCTGTCACGGCTTCGGACTGGCAAAACCTGCTCTTCCGTCGGCTTCCCCGGTGAGGAGCAGGACGTCGGGCAGGGTGGCAGGAGGAGGGAAGAGGGATCTTGTCTCAGCTACATCTCCCAAGTGCCCCTGTGGGGAGAGCAGTCTTCCTCCCTCACCTGGCAGGTCCGGAGATGCAGGCTGGGTTCGGCCACAATATAAACCAATAGAGGAAGCCTGCCTTCAGGGAGCAGGGAGCAGGTCCTGGGCTGTACAAACCGCTTAAGGGAAAAATGGGCGCCAGAGAGAAACAACCGCAGGACTGAAAGAGTTTTAACAGCATTTTGGGAATGTGATTTGTTTAAAGCTGGTAAGCAGCTTAGTTGTCCACTGAGTTATTGAGGAATTGAAGGCATTTTCTGGTTATCCGTAATGCTCAGTGCATAAAGTAAAAAATGGCGAACGACGTCTATTCTACTTATTTTTTTGTTTTGCGTGACACTCACGTTCGATTTCTGCACTACCGCCGGTATTGATTTATCCCTTTATTTTCACTTCCACTTATATTAAGACAGGGATATAAATCGGCTATAAATCCAGCCTAGTGGGGCCCTCTAGTGGTCAGGCAGTAGAAATGCCTGTGCCATGCTGGACGGTGATGCGCAGATCGGACAATTCTCAAACGTCCAGCAGAATCCCGTTGTGGAAAGATAGTTTTTGCTGTTAAAGTGCTGTGGAAAAATATAGAACGCTTAGAAATACACTAAGTATACCAACACAACTTGCCTTAAAGGTAAAAGGTTTAGAAGAAATTAAAAATAAATGTATAAATGTTACATTTTCTCGAATGCGATAAAGGTAATTGTCTTAATTTTCTCATTATAATAATATTGCTTTTCACAAGAGAGTAATCTGGTATATGACTGTCCACAATTCCAGTACATACAGTTTTCAGCACATAAGACAGATACCATGATGACAATATAATTTAACATACTATGTCGTGCAAGTCGCGTTGTTTGTGAATATATGTCTAGAATCATGTTTTACCTTGGTATTTTGTAAAATGTGACTTTTCTTCTAAAGTTTACATCGAAAGCTTTGGAATAACCTGCTACCTTAGTGTTTATTAAAATGTAAGTTTCATTTCTTTGCTATCGTTCCCTGCAAGAGGAACGGAGGGCAGGCGGGTCTTGTAAAAACACGGGAATCCATTTCGTATATTCCAAGTCTCCCGGCAGCAGGGTCGCAGCCTGACTCCGGATCGCCTGAGAAAATCTGTGCCGTATTTTCAAGCAGGCCCTCCAGTGTAGTGGCGCGGTTGAAATACGAGGAGAAGAAAGGCCCTTAACAAAAACAGAAAGCAGTCACTAAAAGCAACGGAATGCGAATAAACACATTTCAAAAACGCATTTAAACAGTGTACAAACGAGATTACACATCTGTTCTGGACGCTGGGGTCACGTTTTGGGATTACACTTCTTTTACGGTTTCTTGACACAATGACGTGAGCTCATCTTCTGGGATGCCGCCAGAAAGTAAGTGTTTTTATAGTATAACGATAAACTCTCCTACGCATTGTTTTCACCAGCTTTGCCCTCACAAGGACGTCAATAACCATGCTTTGTGATATCTGGACAGGTCTTTTGTAGAAATGAATCTTTTCAGTACCTAGGCCGGCAGTCCTCGGGTTTTCTTAAAAAGAGCACAGGACCTGAGCGTACCCTGCCTCGGCTTGAACAACGTCTCGGAGCCGGGGTCTTTTTTTATTTGCCTGTCGAGTCTATTTTCTTGCCTGTTACAGTAACAACAACAAAAACAGCAACACGCCCGGTGGCTGATTTACTAGCCTTGACAGTGTCCCTCTTCTTCGTAGTTTAGGGAACGTTCAGGTGTTAAAATATAAACTGTAAATGTAAGTCGGTTGTATATTGTATTGTTGCCTTTGTATCCAGTAGTGTGAAGGAAAGTTTAACCCTCACTGTATTAAATATACAGTCTTTGTCATTTAATGCAGCACTGCCCGACCTTTTACAAATGCCCCTACCCCCAAAAAAGTCTACTTAATGACCGAGTTTAAATTGGAGATTCCAATCACAATTTAATTTTCACTTTCAGAACATGTGCTTTTCTATTGTACCGACATCAAGGACCCAGCAATTTGACTTACAATTTTTGACTTACAATAGTAAATAAATCGCGATTGAAAACATCATCGTGCGTTAGCATTTTAATGGTGCAGTAAAATAAATCCAGTCAAATCTGGGGATGGATATTCCCATCAAATCAATTCCTTTCGTCAGAGATTCATTATGCCCATTTGCTCTTACCATAACTGTTGCTGGCGCAATATTCATGGTCAGTAAAGATTAAACTCTCAGAAGTGTCCCAACAGATCAACCGTGGACTCACCATCGAGATTTCAAATCAATTATTTTGGTCCACTCGTTATTAAGAGGGCGTCATTGTTAAGGGCCAGGGGGAAATTTGGCCAGGACACCACGGTTAACACCCCTACTCTCTTCAAAAAACGCCCTGGGATTTTTTACTATCCTTGCAGTCGGGACCTCAGATTTATGTCTCATCCGGAGGACGGTGCCCTTTTTTACAGAATAGTGGCCCCCTCACTATTCTGGGGCATTAGGACCCACACAGACCGCAGGGTGAGCGCCCCCTGCTGGCCCCACTAACACCTCTTCCAGCAGCAGCCTCAGCTTTCCCAGGAGTCTCCCATCCAGGTACTGACCAGGCTCCCACCTGCTGAGCTTCAGTGGCCTGCCACCAGTGGTGAGTTGCGGGGAGATGTAGCTCTTTGGAGAGCAGGTCAGGTCTGCGCAAGGTAGAGGTTGCAGGTGGGCAGCTCAGGCCGGCGAGGGCAGCGTGTGACCGTGTTGTGCCCCGTGTCCCTAGCCCAGCCTTGTGTCCGGAGTGCCCCCTCCCGCTGAGAGCGCGCCAGCTGCCCGAGAACAATGTACCGCGGCGGGGAGCGGGACTTCCAGACCTCCGCGCGGCGGATGGGCACCTCCTTGCTCTTCCAGCTGTCTGTCCACGAGCGGGAGCTGGACCTGGTCTTCCTCGACCACAGCTACGCTAAGCCCTGGAGTGCCCACCCGGACGCCAGCAGTGCCCGCCCTACCCGCATGCTTTTTGTCACGCCTCGGCGCCAGCAGGACACCACCGTGTGAGTAGACGCTGCACCGCAGTGGAAACCCCCCCTGCAGTATTACAGCTTCTCCTGGCGGTATACAAAGTAGACAGCCTTCATTTAAATGACATGTATAATCACTGTTGTAAGACCAGCTTTTAGACTGCCCTGTCTCCTGTGCAATTGGTTTGTATGTTAATTGTGTTTCACAGTGTGGCAAGTACAGGACATGAAATATGTACCCCATGTTGTGTGCAGACTGGCAAGACTCAGGCTTTATTAGTTGCATTGAAACAATCCAGCATGCTCACAAGTTGAAGTTATTCAGATCTTGATTTTGAGTGCGTCTGTACTCTTTTCACACTCCTGTGATTTCTTTGGTTGTGATTTGCTAGAACGGGGGTGGATTTGCATTGCCCTACTGTTCTAAAATTACATTATTTTAAATAATGTAATTAAAATAACTTGTTAGCATGTCACAGCGCCAGTGTTCCTGCATACGTACTGGCTTAAGTGAGTTTTTTCAAAGTTGCAGCACCAAGCTGATGTGAGTGATAACTTTACATCAGCAGAATTTCCTAGAAAAACTTTTAATTACACTCCTTCTGCTGCTACAGTTGACGAAAAGTGGTGAGCTCAGCTAATTTGGAACAATTGGTTGCAAGGTGTTACAAAGCGTGTCTTTGAGTATTGTGCCACATTGCCATCAAGTCGCGCCAGGGGTTGGGGGAGCGTTATTAGAGGAAGCATGAGCAGCGCAGCACGTGCGTTATGAATGTGGTTGCAGAGAGACGGACATGCCCATCGATGTGGAGACGGTGACGCCCACGCCGATGCCCCTGTATGACAACCAGAAGGCGCGGAGCGTGATGAACGAGTGCGAGCGCCACGTGCTCTTCGCCAGGACCGACGCTGATGCCCCTCCGCCACCGGACGACTGGGAGGAGCACCTCAACAAGTAAGAGCCTTCAAGCTCCTCGTGCAGCAAGCTGAAGGGTGGAGGACAGTGAGCACCCGGGCTCTGCTTCACGTGCAGGCCTAAACTAATCGCAGTTTCTGACACCTGCCGAATGTAAATCAAAGTCGTACTGGGATCGACAAGAAAGAGCTGGGAAGTTCTCCCTTGGCAAGAGGAGGGAAGGGTTGGGTCTACATTGTTTTAGAGCTGTAGCCCTCATCAGGTTCAATACATGAGTGCTAGCCTAGAGAGCCAGAGCTTGCAAGAGGACAGCTCCCATCTCTCCTGACTCCTGTCAGGCCCTGTGTTCCTGCTAGGACTGAGATCTGGTTTTTCAAGCTGGCTGGCAATGCCAGTACTGAGGTGTAGCGAGTCCCAGGCCTGCTTGTTCTTTGTGCTGATCCTCCAGTAGTGGAACTACCCATCTGCGGCAGTCAGAAACATGGACTCACTCTCCATCTTCTTGAATTTCCCTGAAGAAACTGAAAATTAATCTGTTCAGGGTATACCTAACCTCACAAGCCGTGTCTAACCCTCACTTACTCTTGTTACTCTTTGCTCGTGTGTTGCTACTTCCAGTCTATCAGGCTGCACTGTTCAGCATTCTAGCAATGCACTTATTGTTTTGTGCTACTGTTGTATGCACCTGTTGCATCTTGAGTGGATGTGACTGTAAGTCACTTTGGATAAAAGCATCTGCCATTTGAAAAATGTACATGTTTTGTACAGTTTTTCTTGATTGCATATTCACGTTTTTGTAGGTTTGATACTTGTTCTCTGTGTGGAAGTGAAGAAAAGTAATTTAGTGTGTCTGGCAGTGGTTGTTATTAATCACCCATCCCACTGTGTTCCAGGACAGGCTGGTCCATGTCTCAGAACAAGCTGTTCAACAAGGTTCTGAAGGCTCTGCAAGCTGAGAGACAGGCTCGTCTGGCCAATGAGGGGGTGAGATCTCGTAAAATTGGGCTGGGAGTGGGCGCATGCACTCTGGAACCTGGATTGACATTTCTTTCCAGATTTGCAAGGCTTTTTATTAAGAGTGACATTTATCACTCTCTTTTTCCTCCGTCTCACAATAGGTGTCAGATAGTGAACTTTGGGTTATATAGTCTCTCAGGAGCTTTCTATTACATGATACAGCAGTAATACAGTAACGTCAGTAATTCAGAGCTTTTGAAGAAGGCTCCACGGCCGAAACTTTGTGTTTTCTTTCTTCTTTTCAGCATGGAATAAACCTATTACTTGTTCCATTATATTGATTCACAGTTTTCATTTTGAGATTTATTGTAATGCTTTCTCCTTTGAGGCAGAGTTTTGTAATATGCAAACATAAATTTGCTCTTTTATTTTTTTTGCTTTAGACAAGTTTTTAACAGAACTAAAATACTTATCCTCATTCATAAGGTGGTGAGAATGTAATATGCACACCTTGAACCGACTTGAGTACATCTGAGCAATTCTCTCAGTTCCTGTCTCAAACTAGTTTTAAGTAGTTAGTATTGCAGAATGTTCAAAAATCTTTTTCTAAAACTTTACACTGGTACAAACATAACTTTCTGTTTATAAATTGTATATAGAGCTGGTGAGGATTTGAGACAGATGTTTAGTGTGTTGCCCTACGTTTTAATAGAAAAAAGTGGCATATTTGAAATCTCAGTAATCTGAAAATAACTAGAAATAAGACGCATTTACTTTTTTATGTGTATTGTTTGGATTGTAAAATTTGTGAAATCATGGATAAGAAATAGCTGACATGTATAAAAGCCGTAAGAGAATACAATAACCGTTTGAACGTCTTCATGTGAATGCTCGAACACCAAAAAGATCAATGAGATATTGGAGCAATTGGAAGGACTCGGGAACATGATTAATTGTCTGCTATGGAAGTGACATTCCCAGCCTTGCTATTCCCTTTATGTCCCCTCTCTTCTCCTCAGGCGTGTAACGAGCCAGTTCTGCGGCGCATCGCTGTGGACAAGTGTGCCAGGAAGGTGCGCCATGCTCTGGCTAGCATCAGCTGGGACACCAAGCTCACCCAGTGGCTCCACACTACTCTGGTGGAGTCTCTCAGTCTGCCAATGTTGGCCGCCTACCTGGACGTGCTGCAGACCCTGAAGAGCAAGGTGAGCTAGTGGCACTGACTTCAATCCTAAGAAAATCTGGGATATTACTATGTTACTATGTCAGCCACTGGATAATTTTCGGCGCCTTGAAAATAAATGGTTCCTAATCATTATTTCATACAATTGCCTGCTATATTTTTAAGGACCATATGATGTATTTTGTGGTCTCGTATGGAATTATTAAAGAGTTACAAGACTTTTTAAATTGCATCAAATGGATGATTCCCTTCAGTTTTGTTCACTGTAAATATTAGTCAGATTTCACTAATTGGGGATTGAAGGTTTGTAAGACCCCGTCACGTATTGTACAGTCACGACTTTGCCCTAGCTTCCTAATTGGCACTTTCCTCCACAAGGATGAGACAGACTTCTATGAAATCTGTGAATTTCACTAGAGAGAATGTTGTATAATAATAATTCCTTACACTTATATGGTGCTTTTCTGGACACTCCACTCTTAAGTGCTTTACAGGTAATGGGGACTCCCCTCCACCACCACCGATGTGCAGCCCCACCTCGATGATGCTCCAGTATTCTCCCCACACACCACCTATTAGTGGGGAGGAGAGCAGAGTGTTGAAGCCAGTACATAGATGGGGATTATTAGGAGGCCATGATTGGCGAGGGCCAATGGGATATTTGGTCACCAGGGTAACACCACTACTCTTTTTGAGAAGTGCCCTGGGATTTTTAATGACCACAGAAAGTCAGGACCTCAATTTTCTGTCTAATCCGAAGGATGGTGCCTTTTTACAGTTTAGTGTCCCCATCACTATACTGGGACATTCGGACCCACACAAACCTCAGAGTGAGCACCTTCTATTGGCCCCACTCACACCTCTTCCAGTAGCAACCTTAGCTTTCTCAGGAGGTCTCCCATCAGGTACTGACCAGGCTCACACCTGCCGAGCTTCAGCGGGCTGCCAGTTGTGAGTTGCAGGGTGATGGAGCTGCAGGCATTAAAAGGCTAGGATCCACCTCTCTGTGTCCATTTGTAGGTCCCCACATTAATCGACCGGATGCTGTTATCTTCCTCGGTGAAGACCGGTGCCACAGGGGCGGAGGCGCTGTCCCTGCTGCTCAAGAGACCCTGGGACCCAGCAGTGGGCGTCCTGTCCCATAACAAACCGGTATGCTCCTCTCCCAGCTTCAGGGTGACCCATACTGAACTGTATTCAAGAAACATAAAGATGGTCTGGTCTACTGTCTCTGGGGGTTTCAGCTTGCTTAACTGATAACCATGTTCTGAATTTTTTTTTTTATTTGGTTGACCCTGAATAGTTGTTACTGTACCTAAAATTACTTGAGAACAAACTAGCGTGCAAAATATGGTTCCTGCTGATGCTGAGTCCCTTGGCTATGTACGTTTTAACTTAGAACAAAAGTTCATGAACCTTGCCAACCTGTCGGCTATAGCTGCTATGAAAAGAGCTTTGACATTGTTGCCGTGAACACCACAAAGAATTTCTATCATGTCATTCAACTTCAGCGTCTTCACTAGCAAAACTGATCAGTTGTTGCACAAGTCATGTAACACTGGAGTGCCTATATAGAAAAGCAGACATCTTTAAAGTTTTTGATTGTGACATGTTTTCAACGTCTTGTGTTGTCAGTTTAGCTTTAGCTTTTGATTAGAGCCATTCTTTCTGATGTTTGAGTGTATGAGTTACTGCTGAAGCTTCAAAGCATTTCTTAAGTTTTGTTTTCATTGACGATTTTCAGAGTAAGCTTCCTGGTTCGCCCCTCATCTTGATTACGCCCTCAGGGCCCACCAGTCCCGTCTTCACCACTTCGCGACGCCTCCGCTTCTGGCAGTCCCAGCTCTCCTGCCTGGGGAAGGTCAGTGGGGTTCTGCTCCCTTCGGCACATGCAGCAGACTCTGGGTTTTCTCCAAGAACTTTTTTCAACGTCACAGCTGGGTTACAATAGAGATAGATAGATAATACTTTATTAATCCCGTAGGGAAATTGGTGATAGTCTAAGGCTGCCAGAAAAATTAGCCAGCTCCTTGCATGAAATGACTGAAACGGGAAAACTCTTTTAGTATTGTATGAGTCATCCTTCATGATGTATCAGGAAAATAAAGAAATTCTTTTGTTCATGCAGTTTTTGCGTTATTTGAACAATGGGAAGTAAATTGAATGGATTTTCCTAGTATGGTCTATAACCACTCCTGCTGGAAAGCCTTTATTATGAACCAGATATTGATTTTGTGCATTTTATAATGCTGTTGGGTATTTTTTTATTCTGAGCCTTCGAAATATTTGTCATAGACATCTAAGAAACCTCTTGTATATAATTGTAGGAGTGCCTCATTACTTAATCATTCTGCTGGACAGACTCTTCTTTGTCCAAGTCAGCTAAAGTGTGCAGTGACTGAAAACTGAATTAGAATTTCACATGAGGTTTTAAAGTGGGTTATAAAAATAACAGCCTTAGAAATGTATTTAACTTTAGGCTTATAATCCCATATTTGGCCATTTTCAATGCAAGTATCATATGTACTCTCCTGGTATTCATTGTGTCTCTTGGAAATTTGTCTTAAATTATATATTTGTCCTGATTATTTTTTAGCTAGATCTTTTACTTTGAAGTGTACAATTGAAGCTCAGATACAGTGTATTAGGCTGCAGTCTATTTGTAAACATTTACAGTACCTAGGCATGGAAGAATGTTAAAACCTAACATTTGCTTAGATTTCAAAATCGCATTCCAGGGAGCAGAAATAAACTTTAATATATAATACTGAAACTGGATAAATAAGTTCTTATTGCATGCATACATTTCAATCATGTCATGTGTCTCAGAGCAGTGAGCAGTCCTGTCTGTCTGCCTTGGTCTCAGGTCATACCCATTTCCACACATCTTGTGAACAGCGGCGCCAACATGAGCGTCTCTCAGTGCTTGGAGCACATGGTGGGAGCAGTACGGGGTAAAGTCCTGGAGGTAAAGCTTCTTTGTTTTTCTTGAATTCATTTCAGCATTTTCCAACTTCCTTTTAGTACGCTGGTGGGAAGCCGTTTTCTTGTGTGTTCTGTGCAGCGCATGGAAAGAACTGTCTGTTTACATTTGTAACTCTTTATTCTTAATCTGCGTGGCGATGTGATGCTCACCTGTGTTTTCTTGGTGTCTTTCCCTTACATGCAGGTGCACAGTCACTTCCCTCACAAGCCCATCATTCTAGTGGGCTGGAATGTTGGGGCACTGATCGCTTGTCACGTAAGTCCCTTCTGTGCTCCTGTAGGATATGAATTATATTTCTTTCCTTATGGCTAGTGAGAGGGTGCCAGTATAATTAAGAAAAAAAAACATCTTGGTGAACTGTTTCCAGCTTAGCTCCATTTCACAGGCATCGTTTAAACGTATTCAAAATTCCTGATGTAATTGTTCAATTAAAACTGCAGCTGAATGTTTGAACTGCATATCACTAGGCAGTTTTTTTAAATGCATAATAAAGAGATTAAACATTTTTAATGTTCTTATTCTTTTTTAATATCATAGACAGAACGTCTAGTATAGAATCATTGTACACAGATCAGTTGGCATTGCACAGTCTTGCATCTCGTCTTTTCTTCGACATAGAAAGATATTTAGATAGATTATGGATAAAGATTATTGCTAGCTGAGAGGCCTCAGAATCTATAGTGTCTCAAGCAAAAAAAACATTTGGATTTTGAATGAAATTATTAGAAAAACTGTATTAAACTGAAATGATACTTTGATGCCGTTCCATTTAAGTGAAAAATAAATTTCAGTTTGCAAATGCCAAACAAATCTTGCTTTCTCCAGGTCTCACTGATGGAGTATGTGACTGCTGTGGTTTGTCTTGGATTCCCTCTGTTCACTGTCGATGGGCCCAGAGGGGTAAGACTCAGCTTTTTGATAATTCTGAACGTTTATGCTTATGTGTGGTGTATATGTAATCTTTGTTCTCAGCTGGAAGCCTAATCGCTCAGCATTGTGCTGTCCAAGTCAGTGACAATAGAGAACAAAACCTATGAGGTTATGAAGGAGGCCATTTGACACATCCTGCTAATGGTTTATTGATTCCCGATCTTGCTCAAGCTCTATGAAGACCCTAAGTGATTAGGCACTCTGGGATGGTCACATAATTTTGTATGCTGCTTTATATTACAGATGTAATGGAGTCATACCGAGTTTGTCTTTGCTTGAAATGAAGATATCATGCCTGTTTTATAAACTTCTTGACAATGCATAACCCAAAGACATTAAAATAATGTTCTGCATAATGTATGTGCTGGTTTTAACCTTTTATTCTTGTTAAGAGTCACTAGATGGCAGTCTTACTTCTGATCTTGAAAAACATCTTTACCCAAGGCTATAAATATTTGAAAAAATCAGACCTGAGAGTTCTGAATTCCTCACTTAAAGAGGATCATTATACAATTCCTATTGTTGTAAACATTACACAGCATGATTAAAAAGTTGATGTATATGTTTTTACAAAATAGCAGTCTACGACTGACCTTTTAGCAAAATAGTTTTTTAGTGTCTCTTCACATCAGATAGGCACATTTGTTTTTTGCAAAAATGTAAAATATTTGACTTGTTAAAATAAACATTTCTTAGAGACTGTCAGCTGTTTACTTTAATCATTGAAGGTGTTTTTAAAAAGCACTGCGTATATTTCTCTGGCATATAATCAGCTCACTAATTGTACCATTTACTACTGATTGTGATATTTTGTGGCATTTCTTGAGTGCATACAATCAATTGTTGAATTCATAATTAAGATCTTCAGTCAAAAAATTAAACAGCTTCCTGCAGCGATCATATATGAATGTTTTGCATGCCTGCTGATGCTAATCCACCTACTTCGGTGTGATTGTTGTACTGTAATTTCCTTTTTCTGAACTTGTGGTATTTACTGTGATATTATACTGTTTTCCATTATGACAAGCTATATTTTGAAAACCCCTGATTTGCAAAACAGCTGAAATAAAAGTGGTGAACCTTCCCTGGAGTTTCATGAGGATAAAGGAGTTTTCTGGTGTTTGTACTGGGCAGGATGTGGATGACCCCTTGCTGGACATTAAGACGCCAGTGTTGTTCGTGATTGGCCAGAATGCCCTGCAGTGTGGGGTGGAAGCCATGGAGGAATTTAGGGAGAAGGTCCGGGCTGACAACAGCATGGTGGTTGTGGGAGGTGCAGATGACAACCTGAGGTGAGACATCTAACTGGACCCTTGCTGGATGTGAAGAATTGTGTCAGAGGGTCTGCATGTGACAAGAGATTGTTAATTTGTGTGTGACTCACTGGATGTACGTGCATTGGAGTCCTGTAACCTGCAGATTGTCCACAAAGTACAAACTGGGTCAGGTTCAGGTTGAAATCTACAACACTGCATCTTGATTGTCACGTTGGAACAACGTAAACTTAAACCTTCATTCATCCTGTTAAGAGAGACTTTTCATTACTGAAAATTAAATGTCTCGATTTCTTCAGAATACATTTTGGGATCAAAGCTTATTTCAAATCACTGTATTTGGGTGTATTTCTACACCCAAACATGAAACTGCTTCAGGGAGAGGATGATGCATAATGAAGTATGACGAAAAGCTGAAATTCAGAAGCAAAAGGAGCAAACCTGGAGCAGGGTGGCAGCTACTGTTTACAATGAAGTTTGTACACCTGCACACCTTCACATTCAAACTTTCATTGCTGGAAACTTATCAGATGTTGAGGACTCCAGCGACGACATAAGTTTGCCTGCAGATAAAGAATAGTTGTACTCTGAATGTAAGATTCTGAAAGCAAGCAAGGCTGAAGATTTTGATTTCCTGTTCTAGTGGAAGGCACACTCTTGTTCATTTTCCCCTGCTTAACACAAAAAATTTGCCTTGTTAATTCAGGCAAGCAGTTCCTTGAGTGAAAAAGAGATTTTTTTCAGTGGCAGGATTAGTTTCAGGGTAAGAAAGTCATCTGCAACCAGGAATGGTAGATGACAGTAATTCCACTAGAAAAATTTAGAAGGTGAGTTTTCAGATAGTTTTGTTTAAACGTGTTAACTGTAATTGTGACAATGTTCATTACAGTAGTATAATGTTGTTTAAAAGCTGCTTTGAAAATAATTTTTTGAAAAAAAGGGGTTATTGGTCTTATGAATTATTATTATTTTGTTATTATTGTGATTTTTTTCTCTCCTCAGGATCAACTCTACAAAGATGAAGTCAGAAGGACTCACACAGAGTATGGTTGACAGATGCATTCAGGTTAGTCTCAAATTACATATGTAATTTGTAGATATTGTATTACTTTTTATAGTATTTAGCTATAAATAAGATGACATAAAGCAACGCTCCAAAACTGTCAGGACCCGCACGTTGATCATGTGCCAGTAAACTTTAGGTTGGGTTTAGGTGTCTGACTTGAAAATCAAATAATTTTTGATGTTGAAAATCTAAAACAAACAACACTCCAAAACCTAAACTGGGCTAAACTAGATAAAACAGGATTCAACAGTGTTGTTTCAGATGTGAATAACAGGAACATAGTTCACAGTAACTTACCTGGGCAAATCTTTTCCAGAACATATTTTCGTCTCCTGAACTGAAAAATAGTGTTGATTGTAAACATTTTGAGAAGAAGTACGCAACCATTAAGAAAAGGGAATTACTTGTAGATAAAGTAACAATTAATCTATGAAATATTTTTGTGCTCATGTTTTTCACTGCAGATTGTTTTTAATTCAGTGCATATGTTCACCTAAAAAACAAAAGTGAACACAAAGCCTTTTCTGTTACCTGGTACTTAAGACTTATTTGTTTTATTTTATTGACAAAAAATATTTGCAGAGCAGGATTAAAGTGTGCATTTCACACAGTTAAGACTTTTCTTCTGTTTTCCCACTGTTTGTTAAATTTAACATTGAATCCAGGACACCAGTACTCTTCCATTTTGACTTCAGTCACGGACTCGAGACATATGGAAATTGTTAGGGAAAGTTACTTTTAAAAAGCAATGTATTGCAACTGCAAATTACTAATGTAAGGGATTGTTTTTTTAAATTCACAAGAAAGAAGCAGAAAATGATTTAAAAAACTCATGAGTTATATTGAACTATGTAGTGTTTTTTAATAGTTATCATTTAATAATGTCTTAAAAGCAATTTTCTTCAACTTCATATTAATTCTAAAAAGTAATTATCTGAACAAGTAACCTTTAACTGCAGTGTATTATTTTTTTATTTTCCCAGCCCCATATCAATTTCTCAGTTCTTTGTGGAGGAAAGGTAAAGTACTCCTGGAGATGACAACAGTCAGCGTGTGAAAATCTTTTCTGTCCCCTGCAGGATGAAATCGCAGATTTCCTGACCGGAGTCCTGACTCGTGCCGAGAGCCACGGTTCCGGTGAACCCCGCGACCTGGACACGGAGAAGAAAAAGAAGCCGCGCGATTCGCGGCGAGAGCTGCCGTTCGAGCTGGAGAGGAACAGGCCTGCCTCCCCAGCCGTGCGAGTGCCCATCTCCCCTTCGGGGTCAGAGGTCAGCGCGGAGGAGATTGCTTCACAGCTGTGCCTGTGCCTCCATTGTAAAGAACAGAAGGCCTTTTTAAAAAAAAACAACATGTATCATAAGTATCAATAAATCAAAAGTACTGATGGAGTGTATGCATTCTGTCTCCTGTCTAGGTTATTGAAATGTTTTTTCTGGTCTCACAAAGTAAAAACTGTATTGATTTTTTTTTTTCTTGAGAATCACGCATGCACGGCCACACATGGAGAATTTGGTCAACTTCCAAATGAAGTGCCGCATTTTTATTAATTGCAGATACTTTAAAAAAAGTAAAGAATCAAACTTGAAATAAACATCAGGGTCCAGAGTTAGAAAAACATCATGTATAACTTTATGGGATGCACACGCTTAGCCGAACAGAAGAGTAAATTGGAATCATTAACAGCTGTAATAATTGTTACTATTATTACAATAGTAAGAGTTCTAGTAAGCTGTATATATGTTGGTGTTGAGTCAGGGCACAAGGACCCGATTCCCTGTCCAAACACTAGTGTGAAATTAAATCTATTCTCTTTAATCTCTTTTAGGATATGTCTAGCGTTTCCAGCAGCCCAGCCTCCAGCCCCAAAACCAAAGCCTCCACTCTCTCTCCAGCACAGAAGTCTACCCTGATCACAGCCACACAGCTTCTCAAGACACATATGCAGCGCTCAGGTGCTGTGCTAACGCACAAACAGGCACAAGGTACTTCCTCTCAACACGAAGAAAGGACAGTTTATGGTGTGCAGTTCATAATACTGTTTCTCATGGTAGTTTTGTTATGAGAAGGCATTGCATTTGGCAATGGTAAAACTGCAGTTGTCTGAAAGTAAAATCAGCTGTTTTTCTTCAAAGAACAAGTAGCAGATCATGTGAACTAAACAGAATTTTGTGCATTATTGTTGCTTTTCATTTCAATGGGAATATGTTGAATTTCTCCCAAGAAATGAAAGAGATTTGGGAGTGTCTGATAATATAGAGCTTTTAAGAGAACTCTGTTTTGCAGACAGCTAGATTGAGATGCATGCCTCATTTTTCCCTCTGCAAGACTCTTGCTGCTTCTGTCCTCTTTCCTGTAATTTTCCCATTTTTCTTTCTTTTTCCAATTCATTTCAGCTCAGTTCGCTGCTTTTATGAAACAAAACATGCTTGTGAGGAAAGCACTTCCTCCAGGCACTCCATCCTGTCTTTTTGGTGAGTATCTTTTCTTCTTTCTCCTTTTTTCCTTTCTCTTTTCCTCCTTCCTTATCTCTGACCTCTGTCCTTCAAGGCAGTTGCTCACTTAAACTCAAATTGTTTCACCATTTTTTACACTGTGTTGTGCACAGTGGAAACAATGTGTCTATGTTTGCTCCTTGTTTAAATCCTCACAATTTTCAGAGCTTTGGAGTTAAAAATCTCCTTCACTTCAGATTAACTGTGATGTTGTGTTGTGTCCATGAGGCTGCTGTTTCTCACCTAAAGAACTTCAGATGTGGAAGACAAGGGTCTTTTCTTGTGTATGAAACACCGAGGGATCATTTCAGTGTGCAAAGAGCTAGGGATGTGATAAATATATTATTTTAATACATTAAATTAATATAAAATGATGTATATTATAAACTATATTATCGTCATTTTACCAGAATGCCTTTCTCACTGTAAAGCAGAAAGTCCTGCTCTTCTTCACCACTTCATCTGTTTGGCGACGTGAAAAAAGATTCGAGTCTGAAGCATTGTCAGTCATGCCTGTCTGTTCTCTCTTGGAGTCAGAACCCCCTGCTGATTGCATTGAGGTCTCAGTTTTAAAATAATTTGATGCCTTGCGGTGCTGCATTTTTTGGAGGCTGCTTGTTGTGCCGTCTTCAACCTGGTCTCCTGGGCTGAGATGTTGGAAAGGTTGTTAAAGGACAAGATAGGAAAAATAGTTTCTACATAGGAAGAAAAGATGTGAATATTGCTTATTATAAGTTGGTCAACAGCTGTCTTTCTTGTCTCCGGCAGTTCCAGTGTCCAGTGAACAGGCTGAGGGGCTGGACAGAGAAGATCTACGAGCACATCTGAAGAGGAGGCAGACACCCAGCCCTACTCCTGCCAAGCCCTCCAAGAGAGCCAAGATCAAGGTCACCATACTGTCCCATGGGGAGACTGCAGGAAGCAACAGTGGCAACTCAGCCACTCCGGAAGGTGCTGAAACTTAAGTCAATGTCTTCTCAGTTCTTTTGAATGTAGAGGTAGCATGACAGTAGGTGTAATGTGATTATCATAAATCATATTACTAGTGACTATTGTGACACACAAGAAAGCTTTCTTAGAATACAAACATTTTTAAAAATAGCTCTCACAGTAACAAAGCCTTTCTGTGACAGTCTGGATGTCATGAGGTTATTCTGTAAAGTTAACATTTTATTAATTTAGAACAAGCCTAAGAGTTCCCCCCAGAATTGTAGTATTTTGGTCATGATAGATGTATAATCCAGGTCCTTACTCATTTTTTTTGTCCTTATTAATTGTTGACCTTTAGTACTGGTGTTACAGTTAATAGAATCCATTATAATCATTTTTTCATTTAACATTTGGATTGGGGTGGCCCTAGCCTGAAAAGTCTTAGAATGTAAGAGTTACCAGTTTGAACAAATGGGGCTTATTTATTGCTTTCCAGACATTATAGAAAATGTATGTTTACTAAGATTTTTTCTGCAGGGAAGCCATTGACTGTGACTGTGGGACAGTCTATCCCAGGAGCCAAGGAGCTGACGGGACTGCTCACAACGCAGAGGTTACAAACACCTTCCATACTGCCTTAAGCTGCCATTTACCCAAGCTCAAGAAATAAGAATTAAACTCTATATCTCTGCATCATAGCCGACTCTGAAATATAAAGCAGAATGAACATTGACACCTGAAGAAGGCTTCACAGCCGAAATATTGTTTTCACTCTTCTCTTTTCAGCATGGAATAAACCTTTTACTTGTTCCTTTGCAGGCTACGCATGCTGACGCAGCTACCTGCCTGAACTATTTAAAAACAGTGTTTAATATATAAAAAACAATTGACATTAACAACATATAAGGATAGTGCTTCAGAATAAACTACTTTTTCCACACCTTGGGCAGTAATCTGAATAGTTTTAGAAAGGTAAGCCTTTTAACCATTCAGGGGTACTTACTGTCACAATGCAGAAACACATTCTTCTCTTTAGCTTCCTGAAGGCTTGATTCTCTCTTTATGCCAATCCTTATTCTTTTTTCTCCAGATTGATTTAATCTGAAACTGGCACTGTTTCAACACCCCTCATCAGCAGCTGTCACTGATATAAAAAGAAAGAACTAAAGCACATTTTGTCTTCAAACCCCTTGCTGGGTTTCAGTGTGATTTTCTGTTTAAATTCCTTCTAGTTACAAAATGTTTCCAATTTTCTGATCCCTTGGCTGCAACTGTAGTTTGGAAGGGAGTGACAATACCTCCTACGTATTAGGAAGGAATATGGTGTGGTGGGTGCAGTATTTTATGACAACAGAAATTTTCACTTTTTAAATGTTATTTTTGGCTCAGTCAGGTGCAAAGTTTTCAGATAAAGATATAGATGAGTCAGAAAATAAGATTATATTTTTGTGCTGCTCCTGGGTGCTTCAAATAATTTTTAGAGATGCAGTGATTGCTTTGTGGGACAAAAGGCAGTTTTTTTAAATTGTTGGTTGTGTTTACATCTTTCATGCTAGCCAATTTTGTTCAATCAGCCTCTTTCAAGCAGAGCAATTTTCCACTCAGACCCAAGCACTGTGCCATTGATGTCACTACTTTATAATTAAGGTTCTACATTTCTCATAGCTATGTAGTTGGTGGCACTGACAGTGAAATCCTGTTTGTTTTGTTTCCTCCATTGAAATTCAACATATATAGTTTGTTACACACATTATTTATCTGATGATGCGGTTAGAAAATGGATGGATGTATATACTGTATGTAATTCTAAGGTTAAATAAAAAGATTGTGAAAATTGCAAAGATTGTCTTTAGACACACTGAAACACCTATGAAGAGCTCCGCTCACTGATTATTAGATACTGAAATTTTGTGATTATTAGATACTGTGCCTTTCCCTGTAATATAGTGATCTGAACTGTTAGTGTGAATATGAGTGAAAATTAACACGTAATTAATCTGAAGGTAATTTATAATGGCTTCGTACTAAATTCTGCATATTGATAGTGGTATACTCATTCGTGTGAGCCATAACCGTTCATTTCTGCTCGCATCACGTCGAAACATCACTGATGGTGATTTTCTAGTGCTGTGGTTTTGGAAGTTAGTGGATGGCAGAATCTTCCACCTCCCAAAGCTTGGTGCTGTTTGAGAACTCTGCGGAACTTAATTCCAAGAGAGACGATTCTAAATACGGACAGCTTGCATATGCCCAGTGGTTTTAGAAGGCCAAGACTGTGATCCTAACAGCCATTCTTTTTTGAATAGTGCTCCATATTAGTGACAATTTAAACTAAAAAAAAACTTTGCTTTTGTTAGCTTTAGATGTCTGTTTTGCGGTTTCTATATATATGTTCATATTTTTTTACATGGCCATATAAATAATGTCAGAAGCCAAACAGCCATTTTGGAATGTGAAATTTACAAAAATTAACTCAATTTGCTCCCCTTTGTAAGCGATCTTGTTCTTTATCACTCAACAATAGTTGATGGACGGTATCCTTTGTTTCTTAGTGGCTGAGTGTACTGTGTGCTGAGGGAATGAAAAAAGAGGCTGCGGGAATGACAGTGATAATCAGGGGGTTTGTGTCCTGTGATTTCAGGTCTGCCAGTATCCCAGAGGCCTCCAGCGTGAGTCCTGGAGCGTCTGGTAGTGCGGCTCCCAGCTCTTTTCACAGCTTGCAGAGCCGCATGGTGTCAGGGTCCTCCTCGCCTATCCAAACTCAGGCCCCGGCAGCTGCTCAAGGTATCAAAGATCCCTTTTACACTCAGTAACCCTGTGCCTTATCCCACAGCTTCTCGCTGACCCCAAAACCCTCCCTCTGTTGTAATCAGCTTTTCTGCTGTCCCTTCACCTGACCACATTGATCACTTTGGCAAAAGAGTGGAAAAGAGTCACTGAACCCCAGTTATGGACATTGAGCTCCTAGGACTCTTCCACTAGTGGTTTGACAGATTTACCTGGAGTGATTACCAGTGATCATTGCTTTTCATTATGCTTTTAAGTCATTTTCAAAATGTTCTTGATTAATTGAAACAGGGGACATTGTTTTTTTTGCTGCCCTACAGCCTTATAAAATCTTTTTGTAAAAATGCCCGGCAAAACGTTACTTGATTAACAAAACATGAAAGCAGGACTCTGTTGGAATGAAAATACAGCAATACTGTATCTAAGAAGACTTGTGAGACTGTTTTCTTCAGGGCGTCTTAGTTTGTCTAAAAAAGAAACAGCTGTAACATGTTGTAGTAGCCAGTAAAACCAGGAAAGTGTAGATTACAGTCTTTTAAAGTATCCTGATTATGTGTTCCAATGTCCCCACAGGAATCTAACCTGGGGAAACCTTGAACCTGTATTGAACTATTAATATTGTTTCCTATAGGCACGCCCTCTGCCAGCAGCTTGCTCCAGGGGCTGAGCTTCAGCCTCCAGGAAATTGTCACTAAGTCTCCCAGTCTGCCCTCCACAGCTGCCAGCTCAGGGAACAGCACTCAGGTAACCTACACCAGGAACAGACCCACTGCCACACAGGTAACTCAACACGAATACAGCCTGCCGATTACAAGCCTTCCACAGTTCACCTCTGGCCAGCTAAAGACAAGCGGGCTTTGGTTTTCTTTGGCTTTTGTTAGAGTTGGAGTCGAATAACTTGCCACCTGCATATACTCCACAAAATAAGGAATATGCAGTGTAATAAAGTTCAAGATATTGTACACTCTTGTGTTGAATACCAACTGGAAAAAACGTACTGTTGCTATTTAATTTAGTTAATCAATATACTTGGTCATATGCTGATTTGCTAATATCCTTATCCATTAAAAATTAGTCTTTTTGTATTTAGTCTGTATTAACAATGTTTCCTTGTTTGGTCATTTTGTCTGTTGCCGTGACTTTTATTTTGCTTTGTTTTTTGCATTTGCAATTCAAGGGGAGTTTTCTTTTCAGTTTTCTAGATCATTAAGCATTTAGTTTGTACTGTGAAGTGTTTTTCCAGCTTAGTAAAGGCTTCCTTAGTTTATACTCCTTTTCTATAGCTCACATGCAACACTGTCTAGCTTGAAGTCAGTGAGCACAAATTCTAGTCTCTTGTTAATCACTCATCTGCACAGCTTCACTGGAACATTAAAGTAAATGATAAACAATTTATTCTCCTTCCATTCCATTAACATATCTTTTAACTTTTTATAATTTACATTCTTTTTTGGGGTAGATTTTAACTTATTTTAAATTTCTATATGCGTCTTTTCGCAAGTTGCTCTCAGCACTAGTCTTTTTTGCTCACCTTCCTTAACTGATTCCTAGATGTCCCTGCCCCGGCCCCACTCCTCTCCCATCTAACTCCACAATACTTCGGCCCTGGCATTCATTTAATGCACCATTCTGGCCATGAAACACAATCTGCCATCCCGTCCTCCTCAGTTGCACTGTGAGATCACACCTTTGCTACAAGGGGTGAACAGTTTGGAGATGCAGATGAACAGTTTGTTTTTCTGCCATTCCCTGACTTGTCTATTTCCCAACAGGTTTCTGGATTGAAGAGTCAAAGCCAGGTCCTGGGCACCATCACAACAGGTAGCAGTACACTAGTCAGAGCTTTGCCTGTGGTCACAACTGGGGCAGGAGGAAGTACCAAAACTACAACAATTCACCAGCTATTGACCAACGGTGGACTGGCCAAACTTGCCAGCAGCTTACCTGGACTGGCGCACATCTCCAGCCAAACTGCCGGTGCGTACTTCACTGCTTCAGGAATTTCCTTTCTGGTTCCTAGCCGTGGATAAAGAAAGTTAGCTGACAAAAATTAACCTCAAGAAACGCCTTTCATACAGAGTGAGAAGCGTGTTCAAGTTGGGCTGTGCTTTGTCCTTCTTGAATTTACTTTATTGAAGACGCTGCAGCCTTTCAAGTGGGAGATTGCTGTGAGGGCTTTTCATTTCTGTTTCTTCCTGTGATTTATTACAAGTTATATGTAGTTTCGGTCTTTTCCGTTGGAATTCTCATCAGCCTTGTTTACAAATTCAGGGATTCTGTTGGCTAATGCTGGGATGGCTCATTTGTGTTTTATCACTGGAACCGTGACCAGACCTTTTGAAAGTGCAGCCTCGCAACGTGCCTGGTACTGGCTACTGGCAGAGCGGGTGGCGTTAACAACCTTATTTTATCACTTTGCTTCAGCTGCTGCATGAGAGAAAGAATCTGGTGGCCATTCGTGTTGTAGAATTGATGAAGATTTAATATAATTTATTAATCTAATATTCATGAAAAGCTGTAATATTCACACTGAAAAGTGAAGCTTTGTGCTTAATGAGCATAAGATGAAATGCAAGGTATTACTACAAAAAACAAAACGTAGGAGTACAAAAAAATGTTTTCGTTATTTCAAGGCACTAAAGCAAACCAGTTCACTTTTATACTCACTGGTTCATTTTCAGACAGAATTTGAATCTTAATTCTAAAGATCTTATAAGAACTGGGAAATCATTCAACAGTCTTGGAATTTAAAACAAAAAGCATAGAGTTGGAAATTGAAAGAAAACAATTAGACTTTAATGATTCATTGGTAACTTGTGACAGTGGGGGAGAGAATTGCATAATTGGAGCACAGGAGGGCAGAGGGAATGGGATCTAAGAAATATTTTGGGATTATTTTTACTAATCAGTTCAGGTAGCTGCTGAGGAGAGGCAGCTTAGGACTCTGTCAGGGGTGATGCAGTAATCTTGTCAACTTTAGATTGAAGTGACTCAGAAATATGATGTAGACTCTTCTGTAGAGTGCTATTCTTAACTGGATTGACTTAGAGATGGTGAATTGTGGGGAAAAAAGGATTACTCTTCCTTTCCTAAACTAGCTTGTGACCCTGTGACAGTTGGCTCCTTACACTATGTAAGATGGCTATTGCTTGAAGGCATGTAAGTGAATAGACAGGCTAGTATGCCTCTATTTACATGAAAGTTTCCGCTCATGAATTTCATGTGCCAAGCTGTTTTATTACACTAAGGGAGGTGACATGTTAATGATACTTTCCCTTTGTTTTTACTGGTGACATGTAATCTAAAATGCCACAGAGGGTGGAAGCCCCGTGGAGGTTTAAAGTCAAGTTGATTGACAGTTGATTGCTTTTGAGGGGAGAACTTTAAAGGGAGTGAGACAATGAATCATAATTAATTAACTTGATGTGGTGAAATAAGATATAATAGCATGCTTAGGTTTGTGAATAGTTAATGAAATATCCAGATCTAAAACGTTTGTGCAAATAGGCGAAATATAGAATTTGCAAATACCAAGGTTTTACTGTAAACTAAATAACAGCATAAGCTAGAAGAGGCTCTACTGATGACAAAGATCTGGTGTTTATAGATACATTACCATCCTCTAGACAATGTGGGAAAGCAAGAAGGCAAGCAAAATGCTAGGATATAAAGGTAAAAGCAAAACATTTAAATTAATGTTAAAATTGTATAAAGTCCTAGTAAGCTCTCCTTTAGATCATGTACAGTTCTGGTCACCATGTTACAGAAAGAGATATTGCTGCACAGGAATCAGCCCAGGGGAGAGCAACCAGGTGCATTCTTTGGCTTAGAAGTACAGCCTACACTGACAGGCTGAAAGAACTGAACCTTTTTAATCTTGAACAGAGAAAACTGAGGGGACCTTATAAATTATCGGCTATCATTAGCCATTCTGTCTTTTCAGTTTTCATCTGCTGTCATCCCTGATGACTTCTCCCAATCTTTTTCAAGACCATTAAAATCCCTCACAATAACCACTTCTTCCTTTACTCTTAGAATTTTGATTTTATTATATAAGTATGCATTTATATTTTTTATTTAAAGATAGCATGCTCTTAATGCTGTGCGCCTTTGGTGTATTTCATGTCTTACCCATATAGATGCTGAGAACCCCAAGATTATATTTTTTTGTGATGTGCTTACCTTCGCTTCAGTTTTATTATCATACCTTTTAGTCACTTTTCAGAGATTCTGATTGCATCATATTTGCCTGCTAATGCAGTAACTACATTTCCTCATTGCTTGTATTTTTCCCTGTTGTTTAGGTATAAGCACTTAATTATCTTTATTTTAATAATGACATGTTTATTTTCCCACAGATTCTCTTTTTGCCATGACTCCCTATGTTCCTCCCTTGTATATTTTCTTTTGGTACTCACCCTTCTATTCTAGTTTAAGCGTGTAATTTAAAATTGCAGTTCTCTAATCCTTGCTATAGTTTAATTTGGTTAGATTTAATCCATCAAATCTGTACCAATTTAACAAAATCCTGATCCATCAACACATATTTTTAAAACTTGCAGTAAGTCAGGATACACAGCTGTTTTTCTCGACTGTTCTGTAATCATTCTGTGTTGAAAATGCAACAAAAAAGAGTGGTGAATTATTTTGCAGTTTTCCATGATGGATTTGGCAGATTGTAAAATTGTTGAAGTTTTTGTAACCCTGTTCTTACGATTCCCAATTACAGGCAATAACTGTTACTTTAAACTGTCTACCTGGACACACAGGTCCACATAAGTGGTAGAGATTTTAAAACTGACTGGAATCTTATGGGGTCACTTCATGTAGTGCTTGTACATCACAAGCTCTTTAAGATGTCTGTTAGTTGTGATGTCCTGCCCAGATGTAATGATTTCACCAGAGGTGATCTAGTGCAGTAGCCACTGCACTGCGAATGAACCCACATGGGATCCTCTACTTAAAGTGGGTAGCTGCGTCAGCATGCATAGGCTGCAAAGGAACAAGTAATAGGTTTATTCCATGCTGAAAAAAAGAAGAAAGAAAACACAGGTGTCACCTGAAGAAGGCTCCACGGCTGAAACATTGTGTTTTCTTCCTTCTTTTTTTCAGCATGGAATAAACCTATTACTTGTTCTTCTATTTAAATGTTTGTTTCTTAAAATGGAAAAAAATAAAATGGGAGAGTTGTCTGGTGATCCTTTGTGCTGGCACCAGACACAAGTTCAGCAGCCTGTAGAGGGGAGCTAACTACCAGCACATGCGAAGATGCTAACAACTCCGGCCTCCTTCTCACCCGGTTACACAGAGCAAAATGAGTTTAAGTGCTCGGTCAACCTTGAAACCTTGACTTATCCCTCAGAATTTGTATGTTTTTAGGTGTGATACATGTTCTCTTGAGTTCTTTTTGGGGAATTTGTTTCCCAAGAAATAGGTTTGAGCAGAAAAATGTCTTGCACCACGGCATCATCTTTCAGGGCACGCAGAAGAAGAAGGCTGACTATACAACCTGATCTGAAAAGTCACACCTTTCTTTCAAATAAGAAACCTTTTTAGATATAAATTGGAGAGAGGTTTTTCATTAAGCAGTTATTCTTAACTAAATTATTTATCCTGTTGCTCGGCTATTCAAGTGTCCTCAGTTTCTAATAAAAGTTGCACGTGGTTGCCCGCAGGTTTGAAAGCACCGACTACAATTACAGTGACCTTACGGGGGCAGCCCAACAGAGTGACCACCCTCAGCCAGTCCGGAGGAGTCATGAAGCCCTCTGACATACAGGTGGGTCCAAGCATACGGGCACAGTATCGGCCTTACAAAGCAATCCTGGGATCAGCTGGAATTAAAAAAAAAAATTATTTCAAATTTTGGTGAACTCTCTTCTCTACTGAAGAAAATAAAGGCCTCCTCACTAAACAGATGTTGAAGTTGTACCATTAGCAAAATTCTCCTCTATTGAATTACAGTATCAGATAATGCAGCTGTGAAATAAAGGCAGTTTATCTGTTAGTCCTGGGATATTTTTTGCCAGGAAAGAAATCTACTCTCATTTTCTTCAAACTCCGCTCAAAATATTTGTGTAATTTAACTTATTTCAAATTGTCTTTTAAAAAGTCTTGGATATGCAGACAAAATAGACGATTCATGAAATGTTGCTGGAAAAATGGATTCTGTACTGACCATATTTAATGCACGAATTGGATGTCTTTGTTGGCAATTCCCTTATATTTCAATGAAATCAAATGTCATTTAAAAAAAAAATTACACAAGGGCCTGACATAAGTAAACATAGGCCACGTATTAACAACCCACCCCATTCGTTTTCTCCTTTGTACACCACCAAATACAAAACCATGTTTATAACAACCTATTACATTAAATTATTAAATAGAATATTAAATTACAATCAGCTGTAGAATGCCATGTGAAAATGCAAACATAGTGTGCAGTATATTAATTGACCGTATTCTATACTTAAGAAAGGTGCTTAAAAATGGAAAAGGCTCTAGTTAATGCGAGAATAATTTGATATTCAGATGCTGCATTGATATGCCTGTTCAGTATGGCTTTTCCTCTTTGAAATTCACAGATTATATTTGTTTCAAAAATGCATTCAACAAAAATAGCAATAATGTCTCAAAATTTCATAATTGCTTCATTTCAGTCTTAAATTTAATGCTACAAAACAAATTAAGAATAATTGAAGCAGTGTTTTTTAGTTTTACTTCATATGTAGAAAACATCAGAAATACTGGTTATTGACAAATCACAGTCAGTAAGTATTTTTCTATAGCATCTGACACTTTCATTCACTGCAGTGACAATGCTTTCTTGGTATTTACAAACTGGGGAAACTTTTCCCTTCACAGACTTTCAAAAGTAGCCCAGGCAGATTTTAGCATTTTGTGATAGCAGGAATGAAATTTTGCAATTGTACCTTTACCGTGCAGTTTGGCATTCTTCACTTGGTCCTCTGCAGTAGTTAATATTGAACTTTTAGTTGCTGGTAGTAGTTAAGTATCTTGAATGCTTAAAGCATGTGAAAAAACAATTATCTCTTTGTTCTTCAGTAACTCCATCTGGACACAACCGATCACTTCACAAAATTTGTTTTCTTGATTGCAATGACATTTTACTGTCTGTTTCATAAACATAAGCAAACCTCATTTAATAAGTACATCATGAGGTAAATTTCTGTGGGGAACATTAATTATGCATTGCACAGTGGTACAGAATGCCAGCACTGGTACTATTATGCATTAAGTGTAAATAAAACTAAAGTTACACTTACAGTGGATACCAAGATGTAGTTATGATTGTGTTTTAATTGCACGCCTTTGCCCCCTTCTTTGATTGTGAGAACTGTCTGTTCAGCACTGACTTGACTCTCCTAGCAATGTACATTAGGTGACGTCGACCAAATGCAAATATGTGGTATCCGGATCACAGGACGCTTTCTGTGACTGAAACTGAGACTTTTTGTGCATAATCTTCTTGTGAGCTCCTGTTGGTATTTTTAAGGTCATGTGGAAAAACAGATGAAATTAAAGTTTGGTTCTGTCCATTATCTTTCCCTGCTGCAGTGTGGTGGTTATACTTGTTCTGGCAGCTCTGTGCAGTATTTCCACAAGACTGTGCTGAGTCATGATTCAGTCACTGGAGGTAGTACCTGGACCCTTTACATTCCAGTTACCATCTGCTATCGGAAATGTTGGCCTAAATGCATAACAGTACGTCTTAGTTGTATCTATAGAATCATGCCGGAGGCCCTCAACAATTATTGTTTATTGCAATTTCTCTGAGAGGAATTTTACTTTAATTTTCTTTTTAAAAGTACAAAATGAGTATATTACAAGTAGCTTCTATACCCCATTGTTCTTTCTGGGTTTGGCATATTTATACACTGTTCATTTCTCTAAAACAGTCTCTCAGCACTGCTCGAAATTACCATGGTTCTGTAAGCTGCTGTAAGTATAGTTCACTTTATTAGCCATATACAATTTTTTGGATTACGAGTTTGTCTTTTCGCATACCCCAGCTTGCTCTCCACGAGACCCACGGAGAGGGAGAGAAGCTTGGGGTCAGAGCGTAAGGTCAGCCATTTATATGATGCCTCTGGAGCAGTTGGGGTTAGCTTAGCTCTGTTTCTATAAATTTAGAGTTGTCAGTTATTTTGTGTCTCTTAACACGTCACGGGCACCATAGCCACTGTGTCCCTGACAGCCCAGAGAGCCCTGGCCACATAATCTCGCTCTGCTCTCGGCTGCGCTGTGCTCTGCGCACAACGGGCTGGGGAACAACTGCAAGCAGCATGGGGAACTGCCATCCTATTCATCTAGAAAATCAAGCTGTGACACATTGTATTGATTCTAGAGCTTTGATATAAACAGCACCACTCCCTTTCTGACTGAAGCTTAATTAGCTACTTTAAGCACACTGACATTTTTGGCTTGCTCCAGTCTATGTATTTTGATTGATAGTCTGCCTAGAGAATAAGGACAGTGTTTGGTAGTATATTAAGAACAGTATGATACTTAAGTACTTTAGTTGGAATTGCTGGTATTTGGAGTTGTGTTGTGACATGGCTAGTAGTATTGTCCTTTATAAGGATGCTTTCATTTTTTTCAAGGGCCCACAGCTCTTGTTACAGACCTAGAATCTTTTTTTATGTGGACATCTGCTGTAAAGGGATATGATGTTTCCCCTATGCAATCTCAAAGAGTATTCTGTTAACAAAGTATACATTATTCTTTGCTACCCAAGCATCAAATTGAGCTAATAGGCATGGTGTATCCTTACCATTCCAGAGAGCATTTAGTCCTTGGCCTTTTCAAAAACTAAGAAATTGGCTCTTCATATGTTGCTTCTGACATGCATATCTAAATTTATTTTCAGAGTCTGTCGTTTATGCCTGGTTTCTCCATGCTCTTGTACTGGTGTGTCACAAGAAAAGCCTCTGAATACTTTAAAAAGCCCATATTTTATGTTTTTTTTTCAACCTGTAATGGCTGCGTAGTCTGTAAAATAGAAATTTAATTGGCAACAGCATCAAAAGTACAGCACCTATACAAAACCTAAGGCACGAGCTAACAGGAAAATGAGAACGGCTTCAGTTTGTTTTCCGTCTCGCAGAGCCCCAGCAGCGGTCTGTTTTTCCTGTCCCTTTCGTTCATTCAGCCCACTCCCGTCTGTGCCCCTCCCTGGCCAGCTAACGGTCCTGTTTCCGTTCTGCAGAGCCTCGAACCCGTGCCGGGGACTGCGAGTGCCCAGGCCGCCGCCAGGACGCTCGCACAGCGGGAACCCCCAAAAGAGGGCCCCCCTGCCGAGAGAGGCCTGGTTCTGCCAGCTGCCCCGTCACCACCCGTAGGTGAGGCATCCCAGTCTGCTCTCAGCCTTGGATACTCTGCACTCCAACTTAAGAAACAAGAGCCAGACTTCCCTCGGAAAAGATTACATTCGCAGTGATCTTTCAGGGTCTTTTAGGTTTTGCAGACGGCATTGTTTTTTATCTAAACCAGAAATTTTGTTTGGTTTTTTTTGGTGGCACATATCTTCTACTAGACCCCTTTCAGAAGTGAAATAGCATGCACTAAACCCACATTGATTATGTTGGGATGTCTGCACCAAACAGTGTGAAAGGTGCTCACACGAATTTTACCTGCGAACTGGTGAGGTTTAGCTTTTTTTACTGACCACAGCTGGTTTCCACATTTTTGGAACTAGAATACCCCCTTCAAATGTGGCCTCACAGCTATGATCCAGCACAGACACATCTTTTCCGAATGGTTGTCTTTGGATGTGTGTAACTGAAGAATGGACCAAAACCCAAGTGATTTCCATGTGCACTGATCACGTGCTGTAGTGACCACTGTGCACACACTACAGCAGTGAGGCAAAATGTGGCCATCGGTTCCGGTTTATTATCCTTTCCTAACCCTTGGAATTTCGGGTGATGATTCCACACTTCCTTCGCATCCTTTTCCAGTGTTTGCTGGAAGCGCTCCAGTCCTGCAGTTAAGCATATGTAATTTGCTTTTTTAAGATGCAGCCCATGCATTACTTAAAGGATTACAAGATGCCATGTCACCCGTAAACTTATAAGAGGAAATTAAAAAAGTCCTTCAGAAGAACCTCACATCACAAAAGCATTACAAATTGGTGTGAAGAAATGAATAGCTTTCTGCGAGTTGCACAATGTTGTGAGTCCACTCTGACACTGCTTATTCCGAAGTTTTAATGGACATTTGAGAATCCATTTGGATAACTTTTAAAGTGTGGTTCTAAAGCATTTTGGTAGTCATTATAAATTACTGGTTACACCAGAAAAACAGAGATGAAAGAATGTGGCTGTCTAGTAAGGCAAAAACAGAAATTTTAGAGACAAAATGTTCTGCGTAACAGAAATCAACACCTGCAGTTGATTTCCTGTCCTTCTGTATATCATTTCTTGCTTTCAAATCTTTGACTATTCAGATGAGTCCTCATGATAACTGAGCATTTACTGTGCCCAGCATGCCTGGTCTGAATTTTATTCCAAAGCAGAATTCCAAAGTCTCTCACTGTACTGTGCTCTACAGTGGAGTCAGATCACCACACCCCAGAACTAGTTCAGTTTGATTCACTCCCTGGAGGTTTGCCCAGTCTAGTCCAGCTGTGCTTAATGGCATTCATCAGTCCCCCACCCAGGAGTGAAAATTAATGCTTTCAGTCTCACTCCTCTCTGGTGGGTTTCACACTCAAGTTGTAGTTTATATTGATTATTTTGCTCCTGTCTGCACCGGTTTCATGCTGTTCTGCCTGAATGAACATGCCCAAACCAGCATTCTTAATAAACCACGGCACAAATGCAGATAATAAGAATGGGGCTGGGGTGGTTGTTGCTGCAGTGCATCTGACTGTTTTATTATGCCTTGAAAGTTGTCTGACATCAGTTTTTTACAACAAAAATGCTTTTGATACAAAGCATTCACTGCTGCACCGGACAGCTCATGTTGTGCCTTTTGTTGGCTTGGCACTACCGGAATTCAATAAACTGAGCCAGACCTTTTCCCTGTAAGTATATGTTGTGTACCTGGAGAATTCTCAATTATCTATTTAGGACTACTCCAATTTGAAAACTGTTGGATAGATTATGGTAGCCTGTCTTTGTGACTGCAAATAAATGTAAGATGATTCACTCTAATTTGTTTCAGTATAAACTTTAATCTGTCAAAGAAATAGTATGGGTTTTTTTAAAATTGTTAGTTTGAAATAATATATTTTAAGTGTCAGATGGCTCCCTAGTTTTTAACTTTTAGCATCCTATCTTAAATTATAGGGATACAGTTTTCAGGTTCTACATAAAGGCTTCAGTGACCTCAAATAGTAATTTGTATTTCCATTTTATTAAATACAGAATATAACCAAATCACTGATCAGTATGGAAGAATCTTTTGAGCTGTTCTGAAAAGTCTTACTGGCAGGCTCTGAAAGAGAGCTATACATGCTTACAGCCTGTTTCT